AGGGGCCGACAGATGATGGGATTTGAAGATTTCGACGAGGGGAAATCGAGAAATACCATGTTCGGCTCCTGAATTTTGTGCCAAACATTCGTTTGACTGACCTGCATGTGGGTGAGATTCCCATCACCTCCTCCACCCCTCCCCCCCCCCTCCAACCCTAACTCACATCGCCGTCTTCGCCGAAGGCTTCAACAGGGGGGTGGTGAGAGGGAGGGGGGGGGCTGGGGGGCGACGACGACTGAAGAGCACGCCATGGGGTTGCAGTATTCTGAACGACAAGATGCTCGAGATCTGGGCGAGCGACACCGAATCTTCGCTCCATCTCTGCAAGGGCAGCGTGCACAAGATGGGCATCTGGCTCGTCCCGATACGCGCCAGAGACGCGTGAACTGGGGATCGGAGCCTGCTGATAGGTCTGTGGACGGTTGCGCGCGGTGGCGCGTGTTGGTCGTGCGGATCATACATTCGGACGAGTCCATCCGGGGGACCAGGCCACGCAGGCGCGCCGGGCTCCGGGATTCCAGCCACAGCTGGTGTGGCGTGACGGAAAGGCTGAGCAAAACCCCAAGAGCCGTCGTCAAGGTGGTGCAGGGTCTACACAGCATCAAGCTGGGTGCAGAAACAATTGCTTCGAAGTGCCGCTAGTGAACCAGCCCTTGAGGTTATAACGGCATCGCGTGGGCGGTGCGCTCGGCCTTGGTTCTTTTGCATTTGACGTTTGGACTGTAATCTTCTGTTTCTTTCCAGCAGGCTGATGGTGATGACGTTTCTACCTTTGAAAACTTGGATGTGGAATTGGAACATGCCCATGGCACAAATGACGGTTGTCACGCCCCGCTCCAGTTGTAGATGTACCTGGCAGAGCGCGTTGGGAAACAGGAAATGATCAACTAGGGGTCCAATACCTAAGTCGATCCTGTACCAATGCCTTGTTTGTCCCAAAAGGGTTACCACACACCCGCATATATACTTACTCTCGGGTAAAGTGATGTTCCGTCGTAGTAGATTGCATCCGATCACACGTAGTGAATTCGAGCAGAAGAAATCCAGTTCCACTCGTTCGCTCTGAGCCAGCAAGGTGTGGAAGGACGACAGCCGAAACAGTGCTGGGCGAACATCGATGTTGGCCAAAAGCCAGATTTTGAGGCACAGAAAGAGAGCCAGGGTTGGGTGACTAAAGGTGGGCCGGTATGGAGTCTGGGCCTTTGACGTCTCCTTCGGAAGCTGGCAAGCGAATCAGAGGCCCTGGAACACTAGCACCCCCTCGGGTTTAGCTTATGCAAGGCTGTCGTGGTCTTGACATTTAGCGCACCATCATTTTCGGGGTCCTTGGGGGCCTGGGGGGCTTGAATGCGACGAGACTTCAGTAAATTGTGGTTGTGGCTAGGTAAGAGATCGGTAGGAAATCGAGATAATAGGTATTTTGCGACCTGAGTTCGATGTGCACTGCCTGCAGAATTGTCTATCACAGTTCGCTTGTCTCAATATCTCTTGAGAGTCGTGGGCCTGTTCATCGCTGGACATCTATGTGATATGACGTCAAGCTCACGACACACAGCCCACACTTAGTGGACTTCATCTCCACAGGCGACCCTGAAGGGATCCGCCTCCCCGAGGAAGTACAAGGAAGCAGACATGGCGTGGCTTTATCGACATGACCCCGATTTTCATCAGGCCACACCATCCCACTCTCGATCTGTAGGAAAGACACCATCGGTCGCGATCGAAACGCCAGGGCCCCATCGCCCGTTGCCTCTTCTCCCCCTCCCATTGAGTAACACGACTGCATACGTTTGTGCTACACAGGGCTCCAGGCTTCTGGCCGCGCCGCCGTGACCCAGTGCTGCCGTACCTATGGGCGCACAAACCAAGATAGGCAGGCCAAGCAACAGGTACCTTCAGGAACTCGTCCCGATGAGTCTGGTGATCCGTCTCCCAGCATTCTCACTACCCACAGCCCATTTTCGCCTCCCGCTTCCTGATCAAAAAAAGCTCTCTGCTCGCCCCAATTTTCCAAAGCAACTGCGAATTTGCCATCTTTGCCATCTAATGCTGGCCATTTGACGCGCAGTGCTAGCTGCGTAAGAGGCTCTCGATACCACGAGCCTTGAGACACGAGCAACGAGTAACGAGCAACAGCGAGGAGCACGATTGCGAACGTGTCACATAACTCGCCTTTGCAAAAGCTACAGGCACACTCGACGAGCCGTTGAAGCGACACTGCAGCTTCGCTTTCTTGGCCCGCGGCACTCGCCATCCCCGACCGGCGTGCGACGACTACAGCTCTTTGCCCCCTCCCCATCTCGAACGAACAGAATTGGTCCATCGACGAACAGATCGATCTATCATCCCTCGAAATCATCGCCCAAAGCTTTCCAACTCAGCTAGTGGTGGAGGAAAACAAAGAGGCCACTCATTGCCTTGGCGGCCACAGTGCAATCAATCCTCTGCCGCCGTTTCCGTGGCTGCCAATGCGCACTGGCACCTCGATCGATCCCCTCAGGCCGACCAACTACGCCAGAACTCGACCCCGAAATCCAGCACCTTGTTGCAAAAAGGACAGGCTGCCGCAGCTACGTCCAGCTTGATCGTCCCGAGAAAAAACGGTGCTTGCGATTCTTTCTGTACGTTGTTACTCTACCTTACCTACCCTGGATTGTGCTCAGGCGTGAAGCTGGGGGAGGGGTCTGGCCAGAACCGGACGTCATATCCCTCCACCTCCGCCCATTGCATCGAGATCATGACACAGGCCAATCAGCGCATGCACTTGCCCTCACTCCCACCCTGAGCCTGGACTACCTCACCATGGGTGTGCGGCTTATGGCCCTACGTCTCGCTCACGCCCCCCCTTCTGCCATTCCACGATCCAGCAACTAATGCTGCAGACCCTCCAGTTCGACCACTTCACCCACCGTTCCCCCAACTACCCAACAACCCACGATCCTCAGCCCGACGACAACGACTCTCGACGCCTTGAACTCGACACTCGACGTTCGCGCCATCTCGACTTCATCACACAACCCACGATAAACAACAAACACAATCACACCTATCCATTCGTCTCCGCATATTGACACCTTGGGGACGCACCATATCCATGGCCGACCCAACGGCCAAACCAAGCGATGCCCAGTCGTTGCCCGACAACGCTGCTGGGCAGCCCATGCCACGCAGAACATCACCCGACAAGTCTGTCACCTTACAGCATCATCGCCTCGTCCGCGATGCGAGTCTACGAAATGCCGCCAGCAGGAGATCAGCACAATCAAGCCAAGTACCTACAATATCGATACACAAAGATGTCGACGCGTCGCCAACAAGAGGTTCATCTAGCGAAAGCCAAGACACAACCCAAAGCGATGCCATGAGGTGGTTTGATCGCTCCAACGAGAACCCGACTGCTGCATACACTCAAGGCATGGATGGTATGGCGGATGTCCCGACTATGAACCAAAGCCGAAACTGACTTGTGTTATAGTTGACCCTCCTTTTTATCAAAAAGAAAGCGACTCATCCAACGAAGACGGCAACAAGGCAACATACCCGTTCCATCTCAAGCCTGGCGCTTCCCACTCTCTGCGGCCGCCCGCAGCCCGCAGCAGCAGCACCGGCGACTACCGCAGTGTTATTGATGATCTGACTGTCGAGATTCAAAAACTGAAGGATGAGTTGAAGAAGTACAAGCAGTCTGGCCCAGACCTCTTGAAGCGCGACAAATTGTTCGAGATCAAGGTTCACGGTCTGCCGAAACGGAAAAAGAGGGAACTCGAGGCAACACTTCGCGACTTCGCCTCTGGACTCAGTGAATCTGCCAGCGCTGAGACCTCTTCCGCTCGCAAGAAGTCGTCTCGGAATCACGACAAGATGTACTCAGTCTCGGGCTCCATGTCCAAGCACGCCTCATCTTCTTCCGGTTCAAATTGGAAGCATGCCGATTCGGCCTATGCCTCCGCGTCAACGGGGCCGAACACATCAGGTACCTCTATTACACGCCCCTCTATGAGCTCGCGAGCCAGATCTTCGGAACAGAAGGTCGAAAGCTATCTGAAAGACATCCCGGAAGGCCTCTATCCGCGACACATGGTCATGACGGATAAGGAAAAGAAGAAGCTCGTCGTGCGACGGCTCGAGCACCTTTTTACTGGAAAGATTACGGGACAAGCGTTCCGCGAGAAAGGGGCGGTTCTCGCCGCCAAATCGTCCGATGTCACCACTGGTCAAGGCTCTATGGTTCACCAACCACCTAGCCTGGCACACCCGGAGGCTTCCAGAGAAGCGCGCATCGCAGAGGAACCAAGTAAGAAAAGCCGATCCAGGGACAACGATTCGACAGAAAACTCCAACGGCGACCAGAACGAGACGACAGGAAACGTAGCTGTTGCCAGAACTAGCAACAGTGTTTCGCCACCAGACGCGACACCAGCCGAACAACGCCCAACCCGGCCGCTGGATCTTGATCCCCACCGCAAACAGGTCCCCTCTGAAAACATGGACTACATCCGTCATCTCGGTCTCGTTCCGCCTGAATTACTTCCAGTCCACGAGGTGCAAGATGTGGCATCCGATGCCGACGGCTGGGTGTACCTCAACCTACTTTGCAGTCTGGCCCAGCTTCACATCGTCAATGTGACCCCGGACTTTATTCGGACGGCTGTGACGGAGAAGAGCACCAAATTCCAACTTTCTCACGACGGCCGCAAAATCCGATGGAGAGGTGGATGCGACGGTACGCGATTCAGTAGCGACAGCTCAGGTGATGGCTCTCGACAGAGTCCATCATTTGAGGAGACTGACGGCTCGAATGAGGAAGAGCCGCGAAAGAAGTCGAAGAAGGATCAAGTGGCAGGAGAAGTGGATCCATCTTCGGCGCATTTGAGCAGCAAACACAACCCAACTCTGCTTGGCAAAACCTCTGTATCGCCCGATAACTTCCACTACAAGCCCATGTTTGTCCACCAGTCGACATCTGGAGGTCAATCATCTATGGACGACACTAGCTCATCCATCGGTCCGGTGGAAGACAGCAACTTGGACGACTCTCGGTGGGGAAACAGCGGGTCAGGAACGTCACTTCGCAAGAAGCGTCGTCGCGACGGTGCCATCATTTACTACAATGGAGCGCCATTCTGCACTGATTTGTCCGGTGACCCTGGAGACACTTCACCCACTTCCCACATGGCCTCGTCCGGGCAACAAAAGTCAAGTTCCGGGCCCGAATTTGTCCGTCCCGACCCTCCTCAGCGCACGACGTCGGGGTCTGCCCTCCGATTCCGGCCTCTGAGCGACAACATCAGGGCTGTTACTGTTGCGATTAGAGCTGAGCCAGAGCCAACAGATCCGTATCTCACCACCGATGACTCTGACGACAGTGAAATTGAAGGGAGTTTTCTATGGTCCGACTCGCAGCAATTCCTCACAGTTCAGCAGCTCGAGCCTTCTGGCCTTGGCGGCGTTGTCCCTGAGGACCATTTCATGGTCGTTTGCGGCACCAAGAGGCCCAAGGCCAACACGTTGCCTGTTCAACGGGAAATGAGCGACACTTTCGCCAAATACGTCGTGAATAGGATCTCTTCTCAGTTGTCGACCAATCCTTTGCAGAAAGCCGCACCGGCGCTTGGCAAGTCGCCCCTAGTCGAGATCGACTACGTCTCCGGCCGCATCAAGCGCTTCGCGCCTATGCCGCTGCCGCCTCCGAGCTGTTTCTTCCCACCCTTCAGCACCAATACCGAAAGCAGTTTCGACGACTCTAGTTCGTCCGGCATGGAAGATGACGTGGAATCCAGCAGGATCGCCGACGTCACACCAATGCACCATCAGGCTTCTATCAACACATACCCTGAGAATGAAGACATGACGAGCGGGGATGAAGAGGGTGGCGAGCCCGACAACGGCGACGAGCCTAGGCCAACTCATCCCGGTCCAGACGGACCAGGGCTTATGCTGCACCAAGCACCGGTTCGGCGCTCGAGCAGCAGCGCCATCGCTGCTGCCGGCACGGCCCGCGGCCGCAGCAAGAGCACTGACCTCCCCGATTCTGCCGACAGCTCCAACGCTACGGTCGACGCCGAGAGCGGCTACAAGAGTAGCAGCGAGTGCAGTTAATGCTGCCACGGACGTATTCTCCCGATCTTGCCCAACATGAATCCAGGCTGGGGGAAGGATCAATGACCCAGCCTTTGCTTCTCTTCCTATTTGTCCGGCCATGTTGGGATCTGATGGATCACATTTTGCATCTTTCGGGCGTTGATTCGGTTTTGATTTTACACAGTGTCATTTATGTTTTGTTTGGGAACGAAGCGAAGAGATATCCACCTTGATTTTCATATGGTCAACTGGCTGGTTTGCGAAGCGTTTTTGTCAAACCTACTCGACTCACACCGCCGCCCCCTTCTCTCTTGTCTTACATGGGTGGGCGGGTAGTCGTGTTCACGGTTCGAAGAATGGATGAATGGGTTGTGAGGGTGGCGGAAAAAGGGATGAACCAGATCAAGGTCTTGGGCTTATCTGGAGACTGCTGCCGACTTGGCGTTTTGGCTTTTGGTTTTCACACCCCCGGACGCGAAGCGGTTTGAAAGGGGAAAGATGAAGATTTTGATAGCGTAGCTTGTTGGGGATGAACAGAGAATGTTGTGCCCCCGCTGCGTGAATTTGTCGCTCCTAAGATGTATGTGGTGCTCGTGTCATGTAGCTGAAGGGTCCAATTTGCAACGCAGTGCACTTGCGCGGCGCAGTGATAATCAATGGTCTGGATTGCACGTCAAGCTCACACTGAAATCAATCCTCGAGTTCATCACACGTACATCATTTTCTTTCTATCGTTATTGGAAGCTAGTTCGATGAGCTCCTCTGTCGACATCATCACCCAACCCACCATGCACTCGCCAACCCACGACGCCTTTTTAGGTAAACTCCCGCCGAACACACCCGCTTACTACCACAACGCCGTGCTTCTCGCATCTCCTCAGAAAATCTCATTCACGGATCAGTTAGACTCGGCATGAGTCCTCTTCTTGCTGTCAGACTCGGACTTGGGCTGGACGAGCAGGCTCTGGCCGGTCATCTCGTCGGGAATAGGCAGACCCATGGCCTGCAAGACCGTGGGCGCGACATCGCCGAGGACAGGCTCCCTGACCTTGCCGTCCTTGAGCTCGACACGATCGGTGAGGCTCCAGCCGTTGGGGGCGTTGGCCATTATGAACGGGACCTTGTTGGTTGTGTGGCTCGTCTTGGGCTTGCCATCCTCAAACTTCATCTCCTCAGCGTTGCCGTGGTCAGAGGTGATGAAGAGAATGTAGCCGTGCGCCTTGCAGGCCTCGTAAATGGTCTTGATACCGTCGTCCGTGGCTTTGCAGGCAATGATGGCCTTCTCGTAGTTGCCTGTGTGGCCAACCATGTCAGGGGGGGCGAAGTTGTTCATGACGAACGGGTATTTTTCCGTCTTTTCCCGTGTGTCTTTGTCGACCTGATCTTCGCCCGCGATGCGGTCGGCGACACGCTTGGCGACACCGGCGGCAGACATCTCGGGAGCCTCATCGTAGGTGGCGACAGACTTGACAGAGGGAACCAGGTCCCGCTCGTCCCGGACCTCAAGATCAAAGACCTTCTCAACACCGCCGTTGAAGAAGAAGGTGACGTGGGCGTACTTCTCAGTCTCCGCCACGTGAACCTGCTTGACCTTCTGCTTGCCGATCCACTCAGCCAGGACATTGCCCATGTGCTGAGGCTCAAAGGCAACGGTGAAGGGGTAGTCAGTCTTGTAGCGAGTCATGGTGACGAGAGGCTTAATGTTAGGGTAGGGGAAGTCGGGGAGGACGGATCGATCCACATTGCCCAGAACTTGAGTGATCTGGCGGACGCGATCAGAACGGTAGTTGAAGAAGAAGACAGTGTCATCATCTGTGGCAAAGTTAGTGAGAGCAGTACGAGTAGAGTTGTCAAGTTTGGCTAACCCTTGATGCGAGATTCCTGGCCACCGACAATGATGGGTGTCAGGAACTCGTCCTTGTCCTTGGAGCCGCCCTTTGCATAGCGATCTTTGATGGTCTGAACGGGGTCGGTGCTCTCCTCGCCCTCGCCGAGAATCATACCCTTCAGCGCAATCTCGATACGTTCCCAACGCTTATCACGGTCCATGGCGTAGTAGCGACCAACAACTGTTGCGATTTCACCAATGCCAATTTCCTGCAACTGGCCAATGAGTTCTTCCATGTAGGCAGCACCGGACTTGGGGTCAGTATCACGGCCATCACCAAAGAAGTGAATGAAGACCTTGGGAACCTCGTACTGCTTGGCAGCCTTGAGAATGGCGTAAAGGTGATCCTGCTTGGCGTGCTGAAAGAAGTTAGGATCTGCTGAAAAGGATCAAACTTCATGAGGTTTCGCTTACCACACCGCCGTGGGAGACAAGACCGCAGAGATGAAGACGGCCGTTGCCGCTCTTGGCACCCTCCATCATATCCTTGAGGACTGCGTTGCTCGCAAATGTACCATCATCGATGTTCGCATCAATACGAACGACGTCCTGCCAAACGACGCGGCCGGCGCCGATGTTGAGGTGGCCAACTTCGGAATTGCCCATCAGACCCTTGGGGAGGCCAACGGCGTTGGACGAGGCCTCGAGCTCGACAAAGTGTTCCTTGTCCTGCGAGAAGGCATCCATAGTAGGGGTCTCGGCGGCAGCGATAGCATCGCCATCTTTAGGCGAACGGTCTGAAGGAATACCCCAGCCATCAATCACGACTATAGCGAGCGAAGAATCCAGAGGGTCAGCCAGGCCAGCTCGAGCGAAATGAGCATGTAAGCAGCGGTCAGGATGTAATCGGGCCTGCGGAGAGCGGGCGGAAGGGACATCGTTCCGTGTTCCCCTGGGAGGGTGGGAAGACCAAGCGAAGGCGATTTGGAGTTGGAGCTTGTGTCATTCGCGGAATTCGGGTTGCCCTCCTCGCCTTCACCACCCTCACCAAATGTACCGCGGGGCTTCGACGGGGGAGACGGAGGGTTTGGAGGAAGAGGCTTGGACGTACTCAGACAAGCGGGCTGGACCTGGGTTTCGGCCATTGTGAAGTCGGAATCGCTTCTCGGGGGCTAGAGAAGGTCTGTTCGAGAGAATTGGTAGAGGAAGAGAATCGTAGGATGTGCGTGATTTTTGGGGGGGGAACGATGTTGAGCTCAACGTTTGAGAACCCAGAAGTAGAGACAAGATAGAGAGGCGTTTTACCGACTGATAATGGATGGTGGGGGGTCCTCGATGTCATAGCTACCCCCCTCCTTATCGTTTCAAGCTGCGTCTCGAGATTCATGGTCGCACTGTCCATCCGTAGGCGCTGGCCTGATGATCCACAGTGCATGCACCTCCTGCACGGTGATCCTTGCTAGGCCAACGCGCCCCTCTGTTGACTTGAACCTGCCCTCCGACACCTACTCCTGTCAGCGAGACAAGTGTGTTCCATCCACCTCACCCATCGGTCCTTCCCGCCAAATTGACCACCTCCAATCGCAACTGCCCCCGTGCGCTACTCCGTATTTCCATCCAACAGTTGCGAAAATCAGCTTCAGTCAAAGGATTCCTACCGACCTTTCAAGCTGCTAAGGGATTGGCCACTGTCGGCATTGCGACCGCCCCCGTCACCTCTCGATCATCAGCGCCGACATGGCTTCAACACCACACCCGCTCGCGCTCCCGCCAACTCTGTCTCCAGACGCTCTCGATACGCTCACCGAGCTCACGACAATCCTCACACGTCTTCGCGCCGCGGTCCACGCTTCCAACCCTTCCGCCAATGCAGGTGGCATCACGGGCGCCACGCCCTTGCCTACGGGGGCAACGCCCAACCCACTCGGCGCCAGTCCCGGCGGCACCAATGCAATGACGCTGCGAGAGCTCTCGACGCAGACCGATGCCCTGAAACACAAGCTGCAGCGCGCGAGGACGCAGCTCAAGTCTCTGCCGGACATGGAGCGAGATATTGAGGAGCAGGAGGACGAGGTTCGCCAGGTCGAGGAGAGGATCCGGGTGCAACGCGAGATGCTCGAGAGGTTACGGGAGCGTGGCGTGCAATTCGGAAAGGATGGTGAGAAGATGGAAACGGATTGAATGCTTAGCCTTGTGAAAGAGCTTGAATTCTTAAATGATACCCATGACGGATACTGGTACAGTTAGATGTCTAACAAAATGCTTTGTTAAACTGCCACACTATGCTCATTGCTTGCAAGTTTCCCAACCACCCCGCGCCCATTCTGCCACTGAACCCTAAAGGACCGTCTAGGTGCACGTTCAGCGGCGGCAGCCAAGGTGTCCATTCCGCCTGGCGTTGTTCAGGATGACGAGGAAATACAGGCCATGGACATTGATGTGAGGCTACACAACCCAACTATTAGAGACAAGGAATAGTCCCTGTTGAGTGAATCTCTTCTTCACATCGTGGCTTCTTCGGCTGCCGTCAACAGAAGCTTGACGACCTCAGGCTCCTTGCTGTAGGTCTCCCATGGCAAACGCCCGGCTTCATTGCTAGCAGTTGGATCGGCGCCATGTTCCAGCAGTATCTTGGTAGTTTCCAAATCCCATGACACATGCAAGGGAGTCTCACCAAATATCGCAAGCGATGCTGTACTCGGCGAGCCCTGAGCTTTCTCATGCATCATTATCATGTTTGCAATGCTGGCAAGCCCCCTCTTCGCTGCCATAAACAGAGGCGTACGCTCCGGGAACCCGTTGAACTCTGAAGGCGTAGTCTTGACTCCCTTTGCCAGAAAAGACGGGACCAAGCGAAGCATGGCTGGTTTGCAGTCTTCTATGAGGCAGACGAGAGGAGAATAAGGGCCGAAGGTTTCGTTTGGATCGGCATTCGCGTTAAGTAAATCCTCAGCGAGAACATCGTGTCCCTCAAAACATGCAAGGTATAAGTATGGGACTGAAAAGTTGGATTCCTCGATAACGGGGCTTAGAGTATGAGGTAACAAGAGCGTATCATCGGCCTTGATTTTGGCGGCGACTTGGCTCCGATGATCCAGCAGAACTTGCACGTCGAGACTGTCAAAGTTTTTTGGGCTGAAAGGGATGAAGTGATAGGTCAAGTAGAGCCGCAGCCATCCCACAGTCATAGACTCTGCAGGGTCACACAAGCGCTCATACAAGCTGGTCATTTCATGATCCAATATGCCAGCTTTTCGTACATGTATGCCCCAGTTCAGGCAAGCGTACATGATGAAGGGGTAGTCAGTGTGAGGCTGCACAATCGACCAACTATTGCGGTCGAGCAACTTTGTGCTTGGAGACCCATCAGTATCAAGGAATACTGACAGCCCGTCCTCACCGACCAGGTCTTCAAGACTTAGGGCCCACATGCATATGTGCGCAATCGTAGTGTGTGCCTGTTGAAGGCTAATGGAGCCTTGCCATGTGAAAGAGCCAGCAGACTGGGCAGACTGTATGGCGGGCGGGCGGGTGAAAAACTCACGGCCTGTCTCGTGTAACAGATAGACATGCCCTGCTTGGATTACAATGAACAGGCCGCAATATTGCTTCAAAGCGTCCTCGAATTGGTCGGAATCAGAAAGACATTCCTTCGTTTCTTGAAGGGAAGTTGAATCTGCTGTGATCTGCATAGCCGCGTCAATCTCCTGAAGCGATAATGGGCGTTCTGATGCGATTATAAGACTCATTGCCAACCTCAGCAAATCAGGATCTGCCGTTGTACTCAAGATGCGATCGTACGCTTCGTTGAAATCTTGGGGGAGCTCGGAAAGTAATTTGTCGATGCTTCGATTTGTAGGCAAGAATGAGCGTCCTTTCTTGGGCTCAAGGGAGTCGAAGACTAGACGTATCCAGAGATATGTAGGATTGTTGACCTGCAGCATCCGTTCTTTGAGGCGCGCCTTCATGGTATCTATCCAGCGAAGCTTGGGCAGCCCGGCAAGTCGACTGTCGATAATGCATTCAACTTCCTGTGCAATGCGCGCCATGGCCTGTTCATTTTCTCCATTCGTATAGAATACATCATTTTCGAAGGCATCAATACAATGAGTGGTGATGTACTCGAGCGGCCGTGTTGTTACAGTAAGCTGTAGCGTTGACTTTGGCCTGCGATGTTCCTGGATGAACCTGCCGATTTCGGGGTCTTTGCATTGATCCAGAGCATCAAAGACTACTACGATGCGACCTGAGGCTAGGTCACTTGCAGCGGCCTCGAGGATCTTCCAAAGCGTGTTTGTATCGAGAACAATCACGTCTCCCAGGCTCGTGTATTCCACGAGTGCGTGATGAGTCGAAATGTCGTAAGTGGTAAAAAGCTGGTGAAGGACGCTACATAAAGCCTGTGCAATAGTATGCTGGTCGAAGAAAAAGTAGCACACTGTCGTAAAGCCCGCTTCTGAGAGCGCCGAGTCGATGAGATGCTTGGAGAGGACAGATTTACCACATCCTGGAAGGCCAGTCACAAGGTGTAGCCCTTTCCGATGTGCCAGCCATGCCTTGTATGGCTCGCTATCTAGTAGCCATCTTCCTGTGCCACTGACCAAAGGTGCAATACGATCTTTGGTTCTCTGAGCCCCCGAGGCTGGCAGAACCTGCTTAGCTAGTAGTCGGATGAAGTTTGTCTTCTCGTCAGGCCTGTCAGCCCACTTTTTGGCGACCATGTCGTGGAACTCTTTGAAAGAGTTTTCCAGTCGTAATATGGTTGCAAGCTGTTCTTTTGCCGTTTCGCTCTGCTCCGTGTTGGTTCCAAGTATCGCCCTGTTGACATCAAGATTCTCTCTGGCAAGCTCCACCAGGCCCAAGAGGTGGCTTTGCCACTGCTTTTGTATTTCAATGGCTTGGAATCTTAGCTCAAGTAGAGGCTCGATGATCCGGGCTGAGTAAATCTGCTGGCTCAACTCTTTAATGCTGGCGTCCTGGTCTTTCACCGTTTGGACCAAGGATTCCCAATCATCCAGACGAAGGGCGTCGTTGGCGAAGCCAATGAAGCGTTTCCGGTAAAATCGGAGGACGCTCTGAATCTGAAAGTCCAGGATCGCTTTGTACAATTTGATGATGCGCCCTCGAAGTTCGGCTCTCTGTGCTGACAACTCGGATGCTATCCCTTTGTTAGCCCCCTCATCGGCTACAACACCATTGCTGCCATCCTTCTCGGTACCGAGAAGCATGGACTCTTGAGCAACGTAATATTTCAAAAGCGACGTGATCTCTTCGTAACCGTTCTCTCTAGCCTCGTTCGCAGAGACTGGATTCGTCAACAAGGGCAGCACCAGTAACACGACCGACCATACAGCGGATGCTTCGCGGGACAGGGCCGTAGCTTTGCCAACCCAGTCTTGCGCCCAGGCCACGAATTTTGCGCCTTTCTTGACTTGATTACCAACATCGAGATTTAGTTTGCCAACATGGAGTCTGATCTTTTGCTCGTCCATCTTTTGCAGGCCAAGCTCGGTGATTCTTTCCATTTGTTTGCGGCGGCTGTCCGGGTCCGTCGCAATCTCATTGTGTATCCCATCGACTGCCTCGCCTTCAGGTGACGCCGAATTCACCCCAGGGGCTGGATTTTATACTCGAAGTGTCAGTCAGGAATTCTCGTACTTGTTACATGGAGCCAGCGGTTACCATCAATTGGCGTTTTACTCAAGTTGAGTGAAAGTATTTTCTCGTACTTCTCCACCCGACTCCGGCTCTCGTCTCCATCCTCAATGAGTTCATCATATGCAACATCCCAAAGTGAGTGAGATGTGAGTGCTACCGCTTCAGGGCCCGGTTTGCCAGGGTCAACCAAGCCCTCAACAGCTGCTCCATGTGCGGGGGACGGGAAAAGGGAAATGGTTGCTTCGTCGATTGCATGAACAGAACCCTGCCCCGGACTTGCTGGTGCTCTGGGAGATTCAACGACAATATTATTATTTGAACCTCGGGCTGAGAACAGCCTTGAGATCGATAGCCTGGACTGATGTGCTGATGCCGGTGACGGTTCCCGCGGCTGGCCTCGCGAGCCGGCCTTTCGCCAACGCTGCATATCAGGACTAACAAAAAAGTCCTCGTGTGTAGATGTAATTAAGATAATCGAGTAAATATGGCCACGATACTCAACAGGAAGTCCTCACGAAAAGGAGGGGGTTCCAGCAACAATAAGGACTTAGAATCGCGACGATAGTTGAGACATCATGTAGCCGCCCGCCAAGAAGGCGACAAGCGATGCGCAGCTTGCATGTAGACCAGGGCGCTTGCAGCCAGATTGGACCAATGTGATAGTAGATGAGGTTCAGCGACTGGTGTACGTCGGAAATACACCTATGTTTGTCGACCAGGGGACAGTGTGGTGCTAGAGACTGTCAAAGACAAGACGTTTGGGTACCTCCTAGGAGAAACCTCTACGTTTCGGGTTTTCTGCTAGGTACCTTACTTAGGTACCTAGGTATACTGAAAGGCGTAGTACAATACCGCCGAGGTGACATTCTATCGACGTGTGATGCATGCTAGCTTACATGTGTTCATACTGGCTGGACAATCCGAGCTATCACATCGCGGGAGCAATACTGCCAGTTTCTCGACAACCGCTCATCTACTTCTTCGAACCCGCTCACAAAGCAGACTCTTTGAAAACTGACTCCGTGAATGCACCAGATCGGGGAAGAACGTTACTCACGTGACCGTGCTGAATGAGCGCATGATTAGTCAGCTGACTCGCCTTCACCGAGACCACAGCTCTCCCGGTCAATTCTCACCGAGGACCCAGAGCCCCTCCATCATGGGCGACCCCCAAATCGTCCAGGCGTTTCTTTGCGATTTCGTAGCTGACTAGCCTCAAGCGCACCGTCTGCCATTGCGACTCAAGCCAGCAAACATGGCAGAAGTAACGTAAGTCATACCGAACTTGTATCTTTCTACGACTGACACGGTATTTTATTCATAGGAAGGACGCGACACCGAGCAATCCTAGGGGCATCCCGACAGCCCCATTCGTGGACAAAGTTGAAGATTATGTATCCACGCGCGCTGATGTCGAGCCTACATTGCGAAACTTCCAGGAGATGATCTCGTACGTCGAACCATTTTCCAACCAGAGCTACCCGTGAACACATGGCAAGAAGCAATTATATCGCCTTTTCGACGTAATAACGAAGTGGTTCTTGCAGCAAATATCAATTCATGGAGCTCAATCTTCAGAAGCGCATGGGTGGCTTGAACGACAAAATACCTGATATACAGAAGACACTGGACTCTGTGCGATTTCTGAAGCTGAAGAAGGTACGCAGGACCTTTAATTCTACCGCAGGGGATCCCTGGGATTGACTGGCCTCAGAATGACTCCGAGCCGGTCGAAACAACTTTCGAGCTGAACGACACTCTTTATGCGAAAGCAAAGATCCCTGCCACCGAAGAAGTTTATATATGGCTAGGCGTGAGTCCACGGAGTTTCAAGAGAGAGGGAACCGTTACGTGGCTAACCTGTGGCCCAGGCCAATGTCATGCTTGCGTATCAAATTGACGAAGCTGAGGCGTTACTGGAATCAAAGCTCTCAACAGCAAAGTTGAGTTTATCGAATTGCGAAGAGGATCTTGACTTTCTCCGAGAACAGATTACCGTGCGCCAGCCGATACTTCCCAAGAGTTGCCTTTGCTGATTTATCTGACAGACTATGGAAGTTGCCATCGCGCGGGTATACAATTGGGAAGTCGTGCAGAAGAGGAAAGACAAGGGAAACGATGAAAATGAGTCAGGAAAGGAAACGAAACAGGAAAATGAGGAGCCTGACGGCTAAGATGCTCGAAATTTGGCCGCAGAATCTTGAGCCATTCTTGCGTCTGTGGCTTCATCCCTCTCGAACGATTATAATCGCTTCGTCCCGACAGTTGGGAAAGTCGCGCATCCATCTGCGCCTCCCGAATCAGGCATACATACAAGCGCCGAGACAAGCAACTCGGAATCCTGTCGCTAATGATGCCTCCATACTAGCCGGAACGTCGTCGCATCTGAAGATACCCCGAGCTCATCAAGAGTTAATAGTGACACGAATTCCGCCACTCATGATGTTCCTCATCTCCACGCACCAGTTTACCTCGAAGACTAATGACAGTCATACCCAAAGGCCATGGGCATAGAATTTCGTGTTAGCAACCAGCTGACGTATCTTAAACACCGTTGGCGTCATCCCCACATGTTGACGGGTGGGAAATGAACCCCTGTGGTACCTACCTACCTTGGGTTACGTAAGGAGGCTCGCGGGGTTCCTGTCATCCGTCGTCAGTGGTGGAGGCGTGGCGGGGTGGGGCATCTCCTAACTCGACGGTGACCGCCGTCTACACCTCTGCTCGCTTTTCTCCTTCCGTAGAAGCCTACACCTCACATACCCTTGTCATCATCGCGTTCCAAACACGCGAACTCGCATCAATATCTCGTAGCGCTGTCTTCGTCCACTACACAAGTCGCAACAAAATGGCAGCCCAGACACAGGTGGCCCCTGAGCTTGTTGCTCCCGAGCTTGACCCGAAATACGACAACTTCGATTACCCCACGAAAGCTGCCAAAGCCCAAGATGGTCACCCGGGGCACTGCACGGAGGCACAGAAGGCTCAGATACATCAACTTCGCATGATGCTAGAGTCTGAAGGCGTCACGCAACGCCTCGACACTTTGACTCTGGTATGGACATTTGAACCTAGCAAACTTGGACTCGCTGCTGACTTGGGCCGTAGCTGCGCTTCCTCAGAGCTCGCAAGTTTGACGTCAACGCCTCCAAGGCCATGTAAGTTGTTTTTATTGAGACTTAGGAAATCACTTGTTACGGACCTGACATCCCGCGCAGGTTCGTCGAGTTTGACAAGTGGCGCAAGGAGGTTCATCTGGACGCTCTTGTTCCTACTTGGGAGTACAAGGAGAGGGAGCAGATGCTCAAGTTCTACCCCCAGTACTACCATAAAACCGACGTTGTAAGACGAAGAATCCTAATAATGATGCCATTACTTGCTAAGTCTAAGGTTTTAGGACGGCCGACCCGTATATATCGAACAGCTTGGCAAGATCAACCTCACTGAGATGCGCACCATCACGACCGACGAGCGCATGCTGGATAACCTCGCCGTCGAATACGAGAAGTGCGCCGACCCTCGTTTCCCAGCCTGCTCCGTCGTCCAGGGAACTCTCGTCGAGACCTGCTGCACCATCATGGACCTCAAAGGTGTTAGCATTGGCAACGCTTCCCAGGTTTATGGCTACGTCAAGCAGGCATCTGTGATCTCGCAGAACTACTACCCCGAGCGTCTGGGAAAGCTGTACATCATCAACGCACCTTGGACCTTCTCGGTTGTCTGGAGTGTCGTCAAGGGCTGGCTTGACCCTGTTACCGTCAACAAGATCGACATTCTCGGTGGTGGATACGCCAAGGAGCTCCTCAAGCAAATTCCTGCCGAGAACCTCCCAGTCGAGTTTGGTGGCAAGTGCAAGTGCGCCGAAGGCTGCCAGAACAGCAATGCTGGTCCTTGGCAGGAACCTCAGTGGAAGAACAGGGCTTGGTGGGACACGCCAGAGGCTAAGCAGCAGGCTCTCGCGGCCCTCAAGGGCACCTCGAAGGATCCCCATGTCATTGTCAACGAGGGCAGCGAGATAGTCACTGCTCCCACCGGTGCCGCCGGCGCAGCCCCCGCCGGTACCGCCGACGCGGGCGCTCCTGCCGGTACCGCCGACGTGGGCGCTCCTGCCAAGGCCACGGCTTAAGATCGTTCAGTCACATGTGTTGTTTGCTAGCGTCGGTGTTGAAGGGGGTGGTTGTGGTGATAGCGGTATGATAGTGGTGCTTCGAAACAATGAAGTACGAGATGGAAAAACAGTTAAGGTGGAATGACTTTTGAGTTCAACACTGACAAAGGATAGAATATTGGGGGGCTCATTCCCTTTCGCCCTGTATGGCTTCTGATGTTATACACTTGATGGATACTCCTTCGAAACATGGTAGCCACAGAGTAGACACATCAAACGAGTTCCCAGGCATTCAAAGCCCACCGCTTCGTCTCAACTGGATTTGAAGACCCCGTTAAAAAATGTATGCTTAGCCACAGTCCGATGTCTGAAGTAAATACGGAAGCTGCGCCTGGCTGATTTGCTATTGAGTGACCGCAGATGCAGCTGGTCAAAGTACTCGAGGGGGCATTGCAGTTGATGGACCTGTACGGAAGATCAGGATGGCAAACTTGCTAGAGTGGCCGAAACACAGTATCAACAACATGAAATATAGTTCTTCGTTTCCGAGGACGGATGGTGGTTCATGAAGCAGGTACATGCTACTTCATCGGATTCACATCCATAAATTCATTAATCGTGAGTGTCTCTGAAACAGCTCAACTCAACCGCCGAAGCCAACCCAAACTATGCAGCCCGAGCTGGCTCGGAGGCAGGTTGCCATGGTCATCTCCCCGTAACAACATACTCGCCTGCCACCCTCGCCCTCTCCATTTTTGCCACGGTACTCGGCATCTCTCTTTTCACCTTTCCCAGCCCTTCAATGGCGTTTCGATGCGCGCTTTCGACTCCATCCTGCCTCTCGAGCACTCCGACATCGAGCTCTGCGCTTTCCAGGTCGGCTTGACGTTTCCGCTCTGCCAGTTCTTCTTCATCCCGCGTTCGCGCCTCTTTTAATCGTCTTGTCTGCTCTCCCGCCACATCTGACGGTACGGTTTTCTTCAGCGCCGCAATTTCATTCAGCAGTTCCTCTTCCTGGCGTGCCAGATCCTCGACCTTTTGACGCAGACGCGCATCCCAGGGTTCGTATTCGACTTGCGGCTCTAGCGCTGTTTGTGCGTCGGCGTCGGGAGCGAGGAAGACTTTTGGCTCAGCGGGGAGCCCGTTTAGGGAGAGGTTCGGCGCGGCGTGAGTAAAGGTTTTTGTGATATACTGCAGAAGTCAGAACAGAACATGGGTATCAAAAGGACACTATAGGAACTTACCTCATTGACATGCTTTTCTATCTGTATCCTCAGCTCGTCCTCATCGCCAGCGTTGCCTTCCATAGGTGGGAACGCATCGTTGAGGTGATCTTGCGCCGCGCGCCTCACGTTGGAGAGGAGATAGGCGAGGTCTTCCGGAGCCTGTAGCTCTATCCGCCTCTGCTCTGTGGATTCCGAGTCCATGGGAGTATGTGTGTATGGCCTCGATATTGTGACAATGCGATGCCGGGCTACCTTCTTCAGCTTGTTGTTTCGTGTTTACCAACGCGCACAGGTAGAGCGGATCGCGACTTCCCCAGACCCACATTTCCGGTCCCTCATCTTATCTTATCAGTCGGTCGGTGTGAAAAATGCGCGCTAACCGAAAGCAAAAGTACCGACATCGGAATTCCCCAAGTGGAACTCACTCTACGTCAGTGACAGTCCGCATTGCACCTTCACAAGACGTCAGACAATAGACAGCTGCCATGACGCAACAAGCTCAACCACAACGATGTCCGACCCCGAAAAGACGCATCGGGTGCCCATCGCACTGTAGAGCGGCAACTGGAATATTTCTCCCTTGACAGCCTCACGGAACGGGATTGTCGGTCCCAGCTCAGCCGGGCGTATGGCCGCCCAAACCGATGAGCACGCCCCGTCCACTAAGGACGCCTTGCACTATAGATGTGCGGGGGCGGACCTGCATACGGCCGGACCCGCGGTCGAATCAGACACTGTACGGTGAGACCCTGGCCTAGGTACCTACTACCCAAGAAAGCAACTCTGGGGGGGCTGGACGTCCAGAATCGCATGCGCCAGTGAAAGCCTGTCCGTCTCCTAAACCTCCGTGCTAATTACTAGTGACTCTGCAATGGTCACTTGAACGCTCCACTTTGTAGCCGACTGTACCGTCATAACAGTGACCTGCCATTTCAATTTCAAGCATTGTCGTGGCCGAATGCTTAATGGCAACATATGCTTGGTGGTGAGTCCTGAGGCTATCGGCAGTCGTAATTGGAAGTGCTCGGGAGCCTCGAACAGCTGTTGTGCATTCTGAGAGTGAGTTGGTCCAAGCCCCACCTCTCTCTTTCTCGGCGACGGCGGACATACCACCCAGACGAAGATTGAGAGCAGTGGTTCGCTTTTCGGACAATGTGAGTGAGCACCTTGCATGACTACTCTCCTCCTCATCAGCCGAGCACATGTCAAGGGCTCAGGGGGCTTCCCTCGTAGCCGGGTCACCGTCCTGGGCCTCCCACAGGCTTGTTACCTTCCAGATGATCAACAATCAAGATCTGTTGCCAGGATTGTCCAATGGAGAAGACCCCGTCCCCGACCTCATACCTTAGTTGTCATAGCCTGCACTCCCTCAAGGTCATCCAGCGGTACGAGAGTCCTCCCACAGACACGAAGAAGTCTATACGAGCCTGCATCAACTAGCAAAAGAACCTCCACAGCCCACCATGTCCTGGGGTCTCGAACGCCAAAGACAGGGAAACGTATCATCCACAGCGATCCTCCCAACAGAACGGCCCGACTCCATCTTTGGCAACAAGTCATTTGAGAATGTTTCAACGGGGATCTACAAGCAATTACACATTCATGTAGTGCAGCTGTTTTGGCATATATTTAGCGTTGCGTTGGAGGACCGCATGGCTCTGTTCCTCAAGGTCAACGTGTGCCAACGTGAAGTGGGATGACATGACAGATGCCGCGGGTTCCAGGGGGCGCAAGTGGAACCCTGAGAGGACACCCTGATGCGGAGAGAGTGGAGCCGAGCTGACAGCTAAGCTGCCCCGTTAGTGGCCTCATCCACTGGCTTTGTTGGGCGTGGGTGCCGCTGGGGCCGCCTGGTCCCAAGTCCAGTCACTGCTGGGCGTCAGAGGATGGCTCGGTGGCTACCACGATCAGGGTCCAACTATGTTTCATCGCATCTCTGTGAGTTGTTTCTCCATGCAAGCTAGCGTCGCATGTTGGCTACAAGTACTCATTCTCGTTGGGCTGCTGAATCCGTGAGCTGGTGGTGGGCTTTCAACGTTGCATCAAAGGTCCCCCCCGTCAGGGGGCTTGAGCAGGCTGTCAGCTGGCGCATGGATCCACAGGCGATCATCTTGTCTTGGAACCATTTCACGACCCGTGGGGTGGTGACGATGAGTAGTGTGTTCGACTACGGTACTGCAACCCGATCCGATCGTATTTAATAGAAGTAGAAAACACCAAAAACGCCCTTTCCAGAGGACCCGGTGCATTGCATAGAATAAAACAACAAAACCGAAGACCAACGCCCCTAGTGCCCTTCCATCCTTATTAGTAACTCCATGTTTGAATCCTCAGCCCGAACACCCAAAGCAAGGACATCGTTGATGGCCGGAAGTAGATACGCCGCGTGCATGAATCATAGTTGTTGGCCAAGGATCATTGCGGGAGCATGCTCTTGGACTCCTCATCTGTGAGTACAATATCGTGGACAGGGTCTCGTCGGTTCTCAATCGGCTCGTAATCGCAGTCGACATAGGGTGGGAGGAAGATCTCTGTGGCGGATTGTCAGTAAGCTGTCGCGCATTCACCAAGTATCCTTCATACCTGGATTCCAAAGATATCCTTGACTTGAAGACAAGTAAGAGAGCTATGGAGAGTGTCAGCAAGGGGGAAGGTCTGGTCGACTTGTGCATTACTACATGACTTACCAGACGGGGAGGGCCATCAGGGTCGCCGATGTTGATAACAGTGCACTCTTGCTTGGAGATGGCGGTGCCTAGAGACGTGTTAGCGATCTGGCACCCGAAGCGTCCAAGCTGTCGAAGGCTCGGACTTCTGGATGGGCCGAGTAGGAGCGTACTCAGAAGGCTGGGGCGACGGCCGTGGAACATGTTCTGCTTCTGGACCGTCGGTGAGGGGGTCGTCTGAGGCGAGCTGGAGTACGAGGACGACGAGCTGGCTGCGGCCTTGGAAGTCTGGCTGCCCCTATAGGCGGCACCCGACGTGGGCGTCATGGGAATGGCAATCGAGGCCGACATGGTGAGATGGCAGCAAAGGCCGGCAGCGTAGTTTATGGCGGGAAGATAAGCAATCAGAAAGTTGACGCCAAACTCCCCAGACAGACAGTCGCAGGAGATGATAGGAGGTGAGGGACGACGACGAGGGGTAACAAGAGGAGGAGTGCTTCTTAGTCGCAGGACACTTTGAAGGTTGCAAGAGAGAAGGAATCACGAAGTGGGAACAGTCGGGGCGAGAAGACGAAAGTGTGGTAGTCGTACAGTGCGGTCACGGACAGGTTGGGTTGGAAGGCAGCATGGGAAGGCAGGAAGGCAGGAAGGCTCTCAGGCGGCAGGTGGACGCCGGACCGGCAGGTAGCACTGGACGAAGCTCTAACTGGACATGCCTGACCGATGTGAATCACGCCCACGCCGTATCAGTCCAGGTGGACAGGTGGGATGATGTCGGAGTGGGGGAAGCATGTTAGAGCTGCAGCCTACCGAGTGGTTAGCTGAGATAACAGTGGATACTGTCCCGCTTTAGACGATTGATGGCCAATCGGAAAGTGAGGCTACCTGCCATGCTGGGGTTGGAGCCTGTCGTCAATCACGCAGCACCAGACTCACCGAGGTGAACAAAGTCACGTGACTACACACGATGCCTCCACCGAGACGTGCACGACTTCTGACTAAGCCTGCAGGCTTGGGAGGCGGCTGCGTCTCCCGTTGACGCCTACAGGAGCAGTCAAGCCAGACAGCAACGAAGCTCGTCGAAGCATCAACCTCGCCGCCATCCATCATTCACCACCCCCCGTTCCCGCGCCCCGACCCAACGGATTCTTATCTCGTAGCGCATCAATCGAAACAAGCTCATCTCTTCACGACAAACAACACAACCGTCAAGATGGGCGACGTCCTTGTGGAGAACCCAGCAAACCACATCCCTCCCCACAAGAGGACCGCGCCTTCAACAATTCCAAGCATCGATAACTTCGAGGGCTTGACGGCCGAGGGCGGAGACGACTATGCCGCGTTAAAGAAGCTTCAGAGGCAACTGGAGTATATCCAGCTGCAAGAAGAATACATCAAGGATGAGCAGAGGTTCGTCGTTACCTTGAGAAGGGCAACCTAGCTCTCACCGACTGTGACTAACGACCCGATCCAGGAGTTTGAAAAGGGAGCTTGTGCGAGCCCAGGAGGAGATCAAGCGCATTCAGAGTGTACCGCTGGTCATTGGCCAGTTTATGGAGGCTATCGATCAGAAGTAGGCAACAGTTCCCAGTCCAAACGTCAAAAACGTCAAGCTGACCTCTCCAGCACTGGCATCGTGCAATCCTCCACAGGCAGCAACTATGTCGTGCGCATACTCTCGACCCTCGATCGCGAGAAGCTCAAGCCATCCTCCTCCGTTGCCCTACACCGTCACTCCAATGCTCTTGTCGACATCCTGCCCCCCGAGGCCGACTCCTCCATTGCCATGCTTGGATCGGATGAGAAGCCTGACGTGACGTACGCCGATGTTGGTGGTCTCGACATGCAGAAACAGGAGATTCGTGAGGCTGTCGAACTTCCTCTGACGCACTTCGACCTCTACAAGCAGATTGGTATCGACCCCCCTCGTGGTGTCCTGCTGTACGGGCCTCCCGGTACCGGCAAGACAATGCTGGTCAAGGCCGTCGCCAACTCTACAACCGCCAACTTCATCCGTGTCGTCGGCTCCGAGTTTGTGCAGAAGTACCTCGGTGAAGGTCCGCGCATGGTCCGCGACGTCTTCCGCATGGCGCGCGAGAACGCCCCAGCAATCATCTTCATCGACGAGATCGACGCCATCGCGACAAAGCGTTTCGACGCCCAAACCGGTGCCGACCGCGAAGTCCAGCGTATTCTTCTCGAGCTCCTCAACCAGATGGACGGCTTCGACCAGACCGCCAACGTCAAGGTCATCATGGCCACGAACCGCGCCGACACGCTCGACCCCGCCCTGCTGCGTCCCGGTCGTCTCGATCGCAAGATTGAGTTCCCTTCGCTGCGCGACCGTCGCGAGCGCCGTCTCATCTTCTCCACAATTGCCTCCAAGATGAGCCTCGCGCCCGAGGTCGACCTCGATTCCCTCATTGTCCGCAACGACCCCCTCAGCGGCGCCGTCATCGCCGCCATCATGCAGGAGGCCGGCCTGCGCGCCGTCCGCAAGAACAGGTATAACATCATCCAAAGCGATCTCGAGGACGCCTACTCCAGCCAGGTCAAGGGTACAGCGGACGACAACAAGTTTGATTTCTACAAATAAGCAAGCCGTCGCGACTCGATCACGGAGGACGGAGGACGCGGTTGTGTTTGGTTGATGGGCGCGGCCGAGGCGACTGGCCATGTAATACGACAGACTCAAGCGCAGGCTTGGGCTCGAGGCGTACACGGGTGGGACGGCATGAGGGCTCGATAGATCGCGGACCGGGCAGGCGTCGAGGATGCCTGCGATGGCTGTACAATACACCGTTTTCCCACAACCCCTTCCGACGAATCACGCTATCATTGTGATGTGCTTCTCAGGCCACAGCAGTCATCTTCTCACTGCGCCATGTTTGCATGACGTTAACATATGATGGAAACGCAATCGTGAATTCTAAGTGTATCCCGCCTCCTGCACTCAGCTACCAGTTTTTACATGAAAAAATAAAAAGGCTTGACAAGAAAACAACCGTGGCCCGTCGCGGGGCGCCCATTCATCCATCTATCCCTGTTTTCGTTTTCCCTCTCCAACCGTCCAAGTCCGTAGCCGTCATAAGTAGTGCAGGTCCCTCCAAAAAAAAAAGCGTCAACCCTATGGCAGACGCTGAGCCGAAACGCTCGAAAACACCTTCCCTAAAAGAAAGGGGTCTATAGAAAAGGACAAACAAGATGTATGAAACCAAGGCAAGGGACAAGAAAATCGCCGCCGTCGCTGATGCAGTCCCGCCACAAGCTCATACGCAGCGTTGAATAAGGGAATCGACGGGCCTCCAGGGGTATCGTTTGTGTTTTCGGTAAGCTGAGGGGTATATCCTCCGCTATTGGTTGTTCCTCGTTCATCGTCGTTCGCGCTATCAATCTCCCTCTTTCGCTCGCCAGTCAACTCGCTCCGACCCCCGAGTACAGCCTGATATATAAAGAGATTAAGGTGTAGCCGAATTAGCATTACACATTATCTATTCAGTGGGGTCCTTCGTCCGAAAAGATAATGTTGGCTCCAAGTTTTCATTGAGCAACCGCGTGGTGCTCCAAGATGCCAGACAAGTATGGTGGCGTGAATATCGATCATGTTTTGTGCAGCTTACTGGACCAAACGCATGTGGTCCAGATGGCAAGTGCTCAGGCGCTCAACTTGACGCCGAGCTCAAGCAGAAGCCGCACAAACTTCTCGTGTAATTGGATAAAGAAGTCGGGCATGCCGACAAGCTCTGCCACGCCACGCGATTTGAGCGACACGGCGCCGCCGCCGCCGCCCATTCGGCGAGTAAAGCCGCTTCCTCCGGTCAAGAAGCTGCTGCCACTGGCGCGGTCAGGGCCGCCGTAGCCATCACCACGATCTTGTAAAGCTTTTGAGGAAAAGCCGCCGCCGTTGCCGTAGAAGCCGCCGCCTCCCATGACAGGGCTAGCTTCGGATGCCTTCTCAGCCTCGGCCTCGGCAAGCTTCTGAATCCAAGCTGCCATCTCGCGGAAAGCGGCCGCAATGAAGCCAAATATCTTCATAATTAGACGCTCTCGGTGAGTGCTGAGAGCAAGAAATGCGTAAACGCGCTTGTGACCACGAGCATGGACGTCAGGGATGCGGAATATGTATGCGATCGTGTAGCCAGCCAGAGGGTCGCCGAAGAAGATGGGGCCTCCTGATGCGGCCGCGCCGGCACTGTGGGTCGTAACGAAAGGCTGTGAGGTGGGATTGGGAGACTGCGGCGTGGGAACAGAGGTCACAGCTGAGCTGTTGGCGCTGCTTCCCGATTGCGGAGTGCGAGGCAGGGTCTCAAAGGAGAGGGCCCGAAGGCAAGAGGCGCGGACGATTGAGAAGGAATTGGCAATGAGGGGCTCATGGGTTGAGGTGTAGTGGACGTAGTGGGTGTGGCTCGGAAGACTGCGACTCGTCGAGGACATGCTTGATCGCGTGGTTGTTGAGCCTGTCGCTCTGCGTGTGTGCCGCCGAGGTTGACCCTCGCCGTCAGTGTCACTGGCCGAAGATGTTTGTGAGGGCGGTGGTGATGTGCCTGTGTCCTCCGACGTATACACCTTGGCCCAAGGGATTCGCGAGCGCAACGTCGGCCCCCGTTCAGATTTAGGGTCCTTCTCTTCCTTGAGGCCTTGCCTCTGTGGTAGCGTCATGGCGCAATTCTCGCATGGGCCAGCGCGTTTCGTCACATTATCGTCGTATGTTCTCCGAAAATTGCTGGATTCGCGACGTGGTGCCGGCTGCTCGGATACTCTACGCGGGCTTTCAGGCGGGGTCTCGATGGCTGACGCAGAGGGGCGAGAGGAGGTATTGGCGGCAGGTGACGAGGCGTTGCGTAGTAGCGCTGCTCGGGATATTTGGGCTTCTTGTTCCGACATGGAGAGAGAAGAGTTCCGGTGGCCATGCATGTTCATCTTGCGCATCGCATCTGCGATGGCTGCGGTGGCTTGTCCAACAGAGCTCGGCACGGAGGTAGGGGCGCTCGTGGGTGGTCGGTCTTGGAGTTCGGCCTCGTCAAAGCATGTTGAGCAAGGGGCCGGCAGGCCTTCGGTGACCATCAACGGGGTGGGCCCGTGAAGGTCGCAATAATGAGCTAGACATAGCTGGAGGCCAGAAGTTAGCACTGGCGGAGGAGTGGGTGGCTGCCGGTCGTCTCGGTGTTGCGTTTGGTGATGGGGGTGTTGGTGGTGCGGGCGCATAGTGTCTGCTTCGGAAGTACCTGGCAGAGCCAAGGTGTGTTCGAAGGATGGGACTCGCATGACGAAAGAGAATGATGCGTCTAGAGCATCGAGAGGGCGCGCGGGAGATGAGGGAAGATATGGAGAGGAGCAGAGGCAAGAGCCGACTCAGAGAGCCATGACGGAGAAACAGGGCCCAAAGGAGACGACGGCAGGGGCATCTGGAACAACGTCTGGATTTTTTTTAACCCTCGCTCGTCTCGATGCTCCTACCCGACTTCTTTGCACACTCCTTCTCTTAATGCTCCGACGGGATGACGGGACGGGGGGTGTTTGGAGTAGGGGAAGGGAGGTGCCAGTGCTGGGTTCTGACAGGGAAGAGGATAGGAGAGGGCCGGGAGGTTGCATGTACCACGGGCGCAGTGACATGTTGCCAGCAGTACACGGTGGTATCCCCGGACGAGGTTCCCTTGCGGATGAGTCGGGCAGACCCCAGACGTTTGAGTGTGGACCGGTCGCCCATCAGGGAGGGAAATGATAACGTGGTCGGCGGCCATGTCGTCAGGCGCTGGCCTGTCTGGCTGGTTGTCTGTCTTGGGCTGGATGCCTGCCTGTTCACTGGGCCCTGGGTGGCCATCCGTTCAAGACACTGGTCGGGATGGCCACATGGGAACAGCGGTGTAGGCGGTGAGGCGGCGCCTCATTGGGGGGGGTGTGTAGAGAAGCCCAATCAATATGGGACGGGCGTGTTCGAGATTGGCGGGGGACTCGGGATGTTTCTAGCGAAGCGAATGACAGGCGCGCAGATTGTCATTGCGACAGGAGGTTGGAGGCAGGCAGGCAGGGAGACGGCAAGTGCAGAAGCAGACGCACAACGCATAACGCACAACGCACATGCGGAAGATTGACGGCGAAAGGCCACCGAGGACATGATGGAGGGGGCTCAGACTCACTATCGATGTCATGACGTATGGAAGCCACGGGAATGCTGTCTTATCGGGAATCTAGAACTGGCCCAGGGTGTTGTTGGTTGGCGTCGGGCGGGCAATCGGACAAGGCGAGGCAATCAAGTATCAAACGAACGGAGGGGTGGGCGTGTTGCGGCTTGATGATCGCCCACAAAAAGAAGCAAATATAGAGGAGGGGCAGCCAGTGAGCGAGATGGCGCGTCCTGCGAGCTGTGTTTGTGTGTTTTGTGTGCCGGATGGGTGGATGCTGGGTGTAGGATGTAAGTTTTTTTTTTGGAAGGTCTGGTCTCTCTCTCGTGTTTCGCCGAGGCGGCGGTGCGGCAGTGCGGCAGGGCGGGGTGAGACGACGGACGACGGTTGACGGTTGACGGTCGACGGTCAACGAGGGGGTCCAGGTTCAAAGCATATATGAGGCAGATCGTCGGAGGGTCGTTACCCAGGAAGGGAGGGGGAGAAGGAGGAGCAACAGAACAAACCCACGAGATGGGGAGGGGAAGCGAAGGTAAGGTAGAGGATGAGGAGAGGCACGAATGAGGGGCAGGGGAGAAGAGCAATTGCGGCAAGTCGAGTGCTGTTTGTTCCTTCCTGGTGGGAGCAGGCGCGGGTGGGCAATAGAGGGAAAGTAATCCCAGGTCACGGCTCGTAAGCAGCAAAGAACGGAAGGAGGGAATGGGAAGCTAAGGTTCAGGCACATGTGGTTGTGGATGCGAATGTGGATGCGGATGCGGAGCAGCAGGTGCAGTATAAGCAGGTGATGATGATGATGTGGAGGGGGGCGCCCGGCAGCGGCAGTGGCATTAGCAGTAGCACTGACAGCGACAGCGACGTGTATCCCTACGGTCAGGCAAGGCCTGTACAAGTACCAGTAAGGTAAGGCAAGGCAGGCATGTACAGTGTATACCTGCCTGGGCCTATCCCGGCCGATTCCACTTGGTTCCGCGACTAGGTAGGGGGGCCGGGTCTCTCCTGCCCCCGGAAAGGGACGCAACGAAAACGAGACCGTGGGGGAATTGGATGGCAAGAACAGCCCGCGAACGGAGCCAGACACCCAACTACCTACCTAGCAGCCTAGGTACCTTACCTACCCAAGGTAAGGAAGTGACAGCACCTTGCGATGAGCTTGTGATGAGCTTATTAGGCATCTGAGATTCATCGGGAGCCTTCGCACTTCGTTCCCTGCTGAACTGAGCACACGAGCCTAACAACCCGAATCCCCCCTGCCCAGACTCGAACTAGCAACGGTGCCGCGCTGTCTTCTTTCACAAGCGTTCCGATGTCCTTGGACCGTCTCCACAAGAAACCTCGCCCTACGCAGTACCATGTACATCGCCCTACCATGCATGCTTTGCGAGTCGTGCCCACGCACCCAAACAGCCTCAACACCCCAGCAGACTTCCCCCAACACCCGTCTCAATACCGGACAGGTACTGTACGATACATGGCGCCAATAACCATGACTGGATTCTTGCATGCTAGTGTGCGAGCCAGCATGGAACGATAAGCCGCTCGTAGGAGACTGGTTTACATCGCGTAATAACCCGTTGAGCGACAGCTGTAGGGTCGCTGCTAGGGGCGCTGCTAGGCTCACAGATCGATGGTGCCGGACAGCCCGTGAAGGGTCCGGCGACGGCGGGCTCAGTCCGCTCGGTCAAACATGTCAGGGTCCAGGGCGTCTGTCTGTTTTGTTGTTCCAGTCGCTGACATTTCTAGTAACGATATTTCTCTTTCAGGGTCCACCTTGATACTATTCCGCAGGAGAAAATGCTCAGTGACACACGATGGCTTCATCGCCCTCTAGGCTTCAGCACCGAGGGCACGCGCGTCGGTCACTAAACGATTGACTCGTTAGGACCCAACTACCCGGGCTTCCTCCCTGTGGCCAGGCCTGTCCATGGGCCTTTTACTCTGTCAGTTGTCAGGCAGGACAAGAACACGGAGAGCCTAGGTGAGCATAGATGGTGACCCGAGATCCCAACCAAAAAAACCTCCCCTGATCGTCGCGGGGTTTCCCTATCCCTGCCCGCTGACTGGTGCCGCCAAGCAGGTCGTCGGTCCACCCATTCCAGAATGCTTCCAACCTTCCATTTCGCGGTCCCCACGCCGAGGGAGCCACACCCACTCCTCGTCCTGCACACGCACGCCCTGCGCCCGGGCTCTGTCCCGGGCTGGGTACAGGGGGCTAGAACCCCAGTCGAAGCCCAGCACGCCATCAATTTGTGCTTGCGCCGCTTTTAGTCGCTGGGAACGCTTAGCAACGTCTCCCGCAATGGCGTCTCGAAAACTACGGCTTAGTTGTACACCACGGCTCCACTACTGAACCAGATACCGTTTGCTTGCCAAGTGATGCCGCAGGTCAGGCCCCCGTTTCGAACTCGATGGATGCGACAACCTCGCCCACTCGCTGACCCGGTGCGATTGGTGACTGGAGAAGAAGTGTACCACTTTGCGCGTTTCCTAGAGAAGGTTGATAGACCGATATGTGCTCCTCACTCGGGCATGAGGAAAGGGAAGTACTTCAGTTTGTGCGCATGCTAACGACGCCCATGTCACAGAAGTCAGGCTACTTAACTGGTCCTGCATTTCTGCAAGGTCGCACGAAACCTCTTGATTCCTACCAACACCATCTGCCACGCTGTTAGACCAGGCAGCCTGGAATTTCGGCATGTCGAACTATCCAGACTGAGTTGCGCTACTCACTGTTCCTCGGCTGCTCGGGTAGACGAAAGGACAGGTGTGGAGGTGTGGTTCAGTCCACCAGCCCG